CCCTTTTTGGCCCCTAATTCCTTAACTGTTGGTACCATAACCCCCAAAATCAATCCCAACCTTCCTTTCGTGGTATTGAACCTTATGGTAAAATTTCATGGAGATCCATTCACTTAAACTAAAGTTAGAGTGCGAAAACCAATGTGTCTTCGGACGACGCCGGACGACGCCAGACGACGACGACGACGACGACGACGACGCCAACGTCATACCAATATACGACCAAAAAATTTTCAATTTTTGCGGTCGTATAAAAACTTAATACACGGTTAGAATCAGCATATTAAAGAACCCCAAGAATTCAAGAATAAAACCCCATTGAAATTGGTCAAGAAATAAGCAATTTATACGAAGTATCTTCTTTTGCACAATACTGTGCAATTGAATATTTCTTGCTATTGCGCAATACTGTACAATTGACAATTTCTTGCTATTGCGCAATATTGTGCTATTGGATATTTCTTGCTATTGCACAATACTGTGCAATTGAAGATTTCTTGCTATTGCGCAATACTGTGCAATTGAAGATTTCTTGCTATTGTGCAATACTGTGCAATTGAAAATTTCTTGCTATTGCACAATACTTATTATATAAAAATTTACACATCCTGTTTGGTGTGTATCTCCTACCATATCATTATTATTTTCTTTTAAATATAAATCAGAAATAACCAACTTAAAATGGAAAATTTTAAAACAAGAAAAAAAGGAAAAAAAGAAGAAAAAAAAAAAAAAAAAATCCCCCCCCCCAATTTTTTCAACCCCCTTATGAGTCATCACCCCCAAACTCAATCCCAGCCTTCCCTTTGTGGTATGGTACCTTGCAGTACAATTTCAGAGAGATCCATACACTTGAACACAAGTTATTGTCTTGAAACTAGAAAAATGCTTATTTTTGGCCCCTTTTTGGCCCCTAATTCCTAAAATTTTGAGGCAATTACCCCCAAAATCAATTACAGCCTTCCCTTTGTGATATGGAACCTTGTGGTACAATGTCAGAGAGATCCATACACTTACACACAAGTTATTGTCTGAAAGTTACAAAAATGCTTATTTTTGGCCCCTTTTTGGCCCCTAATTCCTTAACTGTTGGTACCATAACCCCCAAAATCAATCCCAACCTTCCTTTTGTGGTATTGAACCTTATGGTAAAATTTCATGGAGATCCATTCACTTAAACTAAAGTTAGAGTGCGAAAACCAATGTGTCTTCGGACGACGCCAGACAACGCCAGACGACGACGACGTATAAAAAATTCCCAATTTGATGGTCAAGGGACCCATTTGTAAACACATGGAATCATCCCTGCCTTACACATTTCAATGCCACCTTTCAACAGGAATATATTCAACACAAAAACATTTACCTGGATGAAACCATGATACTATTTAAATGGAGGGTACAGTTTAAGCAGTATATACTGCAAAAACAACACAAATAGAGTGTTATAACTTGGGTTTTGGCAGATTCACAACACAAGTTACATCCATTATGTCCAGTTGACATTTATCCATGACGAAATGCAACCTCACAGACACACCTTCATAGCAGTGTTATTAAAAGATGCTTGGAAAAATCAGATGTAGTTGGTAAAGGGTTTCATCTTTGTACAGATAATTTTTTAACCAGTTAGTTGTTTTCTAATCTGTATGAACATTTTGGTGCATATGCTTGTGACACGGTTAGATATGATTGTCAAGGTTTACCTAAGGAATTTATGTGTAAAAACATGGAGACATGAAATTATGGCAGAAGGGACCTTTAACCTCACTAGTTAAAAGGCTAGTCAGCAATGATGAACTTTTTCAAGACAAAATTTATATGTAAAATATAAGATTATACATGTAACATAGGCGGTGTTGATCATGCTGACCAATACATTCAGTACTATTGCTACAATCATAAAACATAAAAGTGGAACAAAAGAGTTTTCTATGTGCCCATTGAAATGGCTTAATATAATGCCTTCAAACTCTTTCTGAGTACCAACCACCAATCAAATTTGACAATTCTTGATTTTTCTACTTTTGTAGCCAAGGGGTTGATAAATGTTTAAATGTCTGAGACACGTAGAAGCAGACCTCCTCTTATGTTTGTTGAGAACCATCTTGTTCAGCTATACATGCCTGCCTCCTTTGAAAATGCCATCTCTGTTACATGAGATGCCGAATTAGTCCCTAGGTTCCTATCAAGCAGACTGAGTTTGAATTGTGGAAAACACCTGTGCCTGCCTAAGTGTTTCACAAGACACCACACAGAGAGGAACTGCTATATTTAAGAATTGAGAACAGTATATTTGTTGTTCTGTTTTTGACATTTGTTATGTTTATGCCCAAATATTTCAGTAAACATGAAGTTGTTGAGTGATGAATCTGAAAACACATCACACGGTATAGATGACTTATATAAACCCTGAAACCAAATTTCAGAAATCCTTGTATTGTAGTTCCTGAGAAAAATGTGACGAAAATTTTCAACTTGGCTATCATGTGTAAAATGATACAAGTGTTCGGTAAACATGAAGTTGTTGAGTGATGAACCTGAAAACACATCACACGGTATAGATGACTTATATAAACCCTGAAACCAAATTTCAGAAATCCTTGTATTGTAGTTCCTGAGAAAAATGTGACGAAAATTTTCAACTTGGCTATCATGTGTAAAATGATTCAAGTGTTCGGTAAACAGGAAGTTGTTGAGTGATGAATCTGAAAACACATCACACAGTAAAGCCGACTTATATAAACCCTGAAACCAAATTTCAGAAATCCTTGTATTGTAGTTCCTGAGAAAGATGCGATGAAAATATTCATGGGACAGACGGACAGACTGACGGATGGACTGACGGACAGACAGAGGTAAAACAGTATACCCCTACTTTTTTAAAGCAGGGGTATAATAACCTAATGGAAATGAGAAATGCTAATGCTTATAAAACTGCATACCAAATACCATTGACTTATAATAAGTGTTTCCCTTTAAAATAACAGATAATGTTGTCTACCCTCAATTAGTGTTATTGTGTACAAGATGGCGGACATTAACCATCATGACCATCAGACGATTTTCCATCATGTTGTTATAAACACAACTCGAACAGATTTCAAGTTATAAGAATTACTGCAGACAGTACGTAACTCTAGTCAACATCCATGGGTTTAAATAGGGTAATTACGTCAAAAACAGGAACGATATTGAATGAATTTTCACTAACAAAACTCACCTTGAGAGGCCAGTGAAACCATTTTTTGTAGGAAGATAAACTAAACTACAACACAACAGTATTCCTAAATTCAATAAGATTTATGATGACTACGAATGTCAAATTTTTTGGCCTAATCCCCATCTGTTCCAGAGTTATGGCCAATCAAACATACGATAGTAATTTTAGCGCAGCACCTGTCAAATTAATTGTGGACTGGCAATTGTCTGGTGATGATTAATTTTGGCTTAACAATTCTGCGAAATTTTTTAATTCAGGAGCGAAAGTGTTAAAGGTCATATTGTATAAGAGTAAATAATATTCTGCATTTGTGTAATTTATCCTTCAGTTACTTAATACACTTACAAATGTTTAAATAAAAAGTAGGAAGTGTACTTCGTTGTAACCTCAAAATGTTGGGCAAGCAGAACTTAAACTGGGTCAGCAGATCCTATAAGTCAAACCCTGTTTGGCAAGTGATGAAAAAAATCTATGTTTTACGACAAGATCCCACTTTTTTCCAAAAATGTAACTTAAGAGCCCCTAATTTCATTAAATAATAAATTGCTTCGCTGAGTGCAGCTGGATATGACCGCAGATGTCCAACCCTGAAAAGTTGGGGCAAAATTGGACACATTATTCAGGCTTGATACAGGTTTGAATTTGGATTGTAATTAAATATTTGACACATAATAGGTTTCTGACACAGAATAACTGTAGTCAAAGAACTTAAAAATTGGTTATATGATTTGAATTTATATTCATTTTTTTTGCTTTTGTTCAATACACTATGCTGTTGCGTTTGACCCCCTCCCCAAAAATAAAATTGACCCCATTTTTTTGCTTTTGTGCAATACACTATCCTGTTGAATATTAACCCCCAAAAAAAAAATTGGAAGAAATTTTCTTGTTAATTTCTGAAATCTGAAATAAGAAAAAATAGTCCCTCCCAAATTCTTATTTACACCCCCACCCCCCAATTTTTTTCACCTCCCCCTTTCCCTTATTCCAAAAAAAAAATCATTCCCTCAAGATATAGTCATAATCTCAATTCAAATTTTAATAAAATTTGCAACCATAATTACCCTTTTAAATACATCATACAAGTCTTAAAATATAAAATGACATACATAGTCATGGCTAAAATTAATATTAATAGTAACTTTTTAAAAATAAAATGACAGCTAATCACCTCAAGATAATCATCATTTCTTAATACATAATTTACAAGCAGTGTAAGGGAGGTAATCAAACATTGTTGTTTTAAACTGGGATTGGATTACCTCCCTTAGACTGCTTTAAATTGTCTTGATTGTCCTTTAACCAGAAAAAAACTTGTTTTTCCCCCTTTTTTGCCTCTAATTCCTAAATGGTTTGAGCCATAACCCCCCACAGTCAATCCTAACCATCCCTTTGTTGTATGGAAACTTGTGGTATAATTTCAGAGAGATTCATACACTTTAACACAGTGTTTGTCTGGAACCTACAAAAATACTTATTTGGGCCCCTTTTTTGGCCTCTAATTCCTAAACAGTTAGGACCATAACCCCCAAAATCAATCCCAACCTTCCTTTAGTGGTTATAAACCTTGTGTTAAAATTTTATTGATTTCTATTTACTTATTCTAAAGTAATTATCCGGAAACCATCTTTCTTCGGACAACGCTGACGACGACGATGACAACGTGATACCAATATAAAAATATTTGACAAATAGTTAAATAAGCAAAAACTGCCAGTATGAGATGATTGTAATGATACAAACAGGGTTTGATCATGTGAACAACAAAACAACATACCTTGAGTGCCAACTAGTATTAAAGGGATTTCTGCAGCATTGCGGTAATGGGCCATTTTGGCAAAATAACTGTACACTGTTTGGAAACTCATCTCATTCTCCAGACTGAACACAAATATCACAGCATCAACCCAGTGTGTAAACTGTAATATAACAATAATAATGTAATTTTTACTATGTAACTAATAGTAAAATATCTTCACTACAGTAAAATTATTCTAATGAAAAGAAATATAATACATCAGAAGTTGGTCAACATCTTTTATTTTATTTAAACAATTGATTGATGTCAAGGACTTTGTATCATGTTATAGAGTATATTCCTATATATTTTCAAGACAAAATAGCTGTCAAAAAAAGCAATCATCATGCATGTCTTACCGGTGTAAAACATATTATCTAAGTAGAGGCGATGGGCACAAACAAACTACACACAATGTGAAATATATTTAGAAATAAAAATTCTTAAACTGTGCTGTATTAGTCATCTGGTGAAAAAAACAGTTTGCTAAATAGGACTTTTATATGCACATACTATAGTTACTCTTGGTGTTTCTGATCATTTTTGCAATTTAATTGTTTAGGATAGCTCAAACCTTTTTTTATAGAACAGCCAAAACTGTAAAAAACAGTAAAATATAAATTTCAGGGGCATTAACTCCAGAAAGGGTTGACAGATTTTTCTCCTATTTGTAAATCGTACTATATTATCATGATAAATTAAGTTAAACTGAATTAAAGGAAAAATAAATGGGGAATGTGTCCATTGGACACAGATGATGCCCCCTCTTGCATATCATATAAAATTATAAAGGGACATAACTGAGGAACAGTAAAAGTGACGCTACCAAAATTTGTACTTGATCTGAGTTTTGATTTAATAAGTATTGTGTATAAGTTTCATGACATTTGGTTGCAACTAACTTAAGTTAGAGAACAGAAGCTTAAAATTCAGCAATTTTTCGATTTGTAAACAGGCATAACTCTAGAACGGTTAGATTGACAACATCAAAATTCAAACTTGATTTGTATTTTGTGGTAATAAGCATTGTGTATAAGTTTCACAACATTTGGTTGAGGCAAACCAAAGTTAGGGAATGGAAACGAAAAATTCAGCAATTTTTATGTATAGAAAGGGGTATAACTCAAAAACGGTAAATGTGACACTACCCAATTTCGAACTTGATCTGTATTATGTGGTAATAAGCATTGTGTATAAGTTTCATACCATTTGGTTGAGGCAAACTAAAGTAAGAGAACAGAAACAAAAAATTCAGCAATTTTTATGTTTAGAAAGGGGCATAACTCGAGAAAGGTAAATGTGACGCCACCCAATTTCAAACTTGATCTGTATTATGTGGTAGTAAGCATTGTGTATAAGTTTCATAACATTTGGTTGAGGGAATCCAAGTAAGAGCACGAAAACGAAAAATTCATCAATTTTTTTGTTTAGAAAGGAACAAATGCTTAAGAAAGGTAAAAGTGACGCCAACTTATTTCGAACTTGATCTGTATTATGTGGTAATAAGCATTGTGTATAAGTTTTAGTACATTTGGCTGAGGCAAACTAAAGTTAGAGAAGGGAAACGAAAAATTCAGTAATTTTTCCATTTGTAAAGGGGCATAACTCAAGAACGGTTAAAGTGACGCGATCAAAATTCAAACTTGATCTGTGTTTTGTGGTAATAAGCATTGTGTATAAGTTTTAGTACATTTGGCTGAGGCAAACTCAAGTTAGAGAACGGAAACCAACTTTGGGACGTACGGACAGACGGACGTATGGACGTACATACAGATGGACAAGGATAAAACTTAATGCCCCCTCTGCTACAGCGGGGGCATAATTAGATAAAACATCCTTATTTTTTTCAACAACCAGCCATCCCTTCTCAATAACTTTGATGGCATAGCTTTATTCATATAATGTACATCATACCTGATACATTTTAGTATTGATTATAATACAAACCTGCATTTCAGGTGATCCTCCTTCATCCCTTATCAAAAGTAGGTAACTCTGACCATCTATTATTACTTCCTTTTTGAAACGACCACCTATTAAAAGATTATATAATCTGGATTTCAATACTTGCATGGTAACATATATATAACACATAATCAAAGCGATAAAAAAATTACAGCTCTTCTATAAAAGCATGCAAAGCAAACCTTTGATCAACTTGCTTGCTATGTTTGTTTGGATGTTTGTAAACAAAAGGTAGGTAGTCTGTTTCAGTCTGTTTACTATATAATGGAATTTGATTGGACAATAAACATAAACTTCATTGCATGTCAATTTTTATTGTCCAATTAAATCCCAGTATATATAAAACAGACTGAAACTCAGCCTACCTATTGTTTGCAAGCATCCAATCAAACATAGCAAGCAAGTTGATCAAAGGTTTGCTTTGCATGCTTTTATAGAAGAGCTGTAAACAACCTTTGTAGCACGCTCACAAACCCCACACCCCCACTTTCTCACTGGGCAAACACAATCTCACCAGATTCCTAAGGTCATAGACTCATAACTCCTTCAAAAGTCATCTGATAAAAATTTCTTGTGAATATGTACATCTACATAGTACCGTATAGCGGGTTATTTTCGCGGGGTGTTTATTTTCGCTTATTTTGGCGGATAAACGAAAATCGTGAAAATAAATTCCGCGAAAATTTATGCATACGTTTGGTAGTTTCGAAGTTAACATGGTTAAAGGATTTTGTAAACGATCTATTTTTCCCTGTTGGCAGGTCAATAACGGTATATGTTAGTTTTAACAAAATAAATGCCAAAGGGCATTGTACATAAATGTATTTTATAAAATGACTGTCAGGTGTGTATACCCTTATTAATAAGTGTCAATTAGAATAAGAGTGTATGGTACTCTTATCAGGTAATTACCCCATATTAATAAGTGTCAAACTATATAAGAGTTGTAAACACTCATGATAATTTTGTAACCTAATTAGTAAGTATATCAAAGGTCCGGTCAAATCTAATCAATCGTAAAATTTACAAGACATTTGAATACCTGTAACAAATAATTATCTAAGTTAGCGGTATTCTTATGATTAACTGTATCAGAAACTAATCAATAAATATTAGGTCATTTCAGTAAAAAAAATAATTAATTAACCATAACAATAGACACTTGTTTGTCAAGTTTTACAACTTTTTAACTGCAACAATTTCAGTATCCACCAAAATATTTAATTGGGATTTAAGAATCCACCAAAATAAAAACCGCCAAAATTTTTCGTATACTTTGTTGCCCCCAAATCGCAAAATTTTACACCCGCGAAAATAACCCGCTATACGGTATGTCCTCATTAACTACAAAGTTTCATAAAATTCTGTTGTGTGGTTTCAGAGGAGTTGCAATTACAAACTGTTGCAGTAGTACATTTAGGCTAAAATTCTAAGTTCAAAGGGGCATAACTTCTAGAAAAAAAATTGAATTGTAATTTCCTTTCGATATGCACATTTACATAGTACATGTGTGTCCTTATTGACTATCAAGTTTTATGAAATTCTGTCGTGTGGTTTCAGAGGAGTTGAGATAACAAGAACAGGACTGTCCGACTGGGTATAATAAGCTAAATGTGAGTCAAGGAATTGAAAAATATAGCTGTGTTTACAGCACAAAATTCACTCTGATTACAGACAAATCTTTTGCACCTAGTTACATGTAAGAACAAAATGAACACGGTTTTGGTAGATTCTGTCACAAATTTTGATTAAACTCATGATACCTTCTTTTGATTCAAAAGTTTTTGAAGAAGTCCTCATATAAACACTATGGCTGCAGCAATACTGTGTGGTTGGTCTGGAAATCATGAACACACTCTTGTTCCTGGCCTTATCAAATTTCAACACAGTTGAACTTATTACGGCTGTTTTAAGTTTCATGTGCCAATACACTCGCTTATGAGGAAGGTAATGGTTAAAATCAACCATTATATATTATGTGCTCGGCCATTTTAAGAAAATAAGGTATTCAGAATTAGGAGTATTGCTAATCCTGATTGGTCGATGTGTGCAGTCAGTATTTTTTATTACTAGATACTTCCTGCACTCTGCATTATACCAAAGGCAAAATAATATATTTTACTTAGCCCATACAGAACTGAGAAGTCTTTTTACAATGTGATGAGACATGTTTTTAAGTACAGAATTAATATGCAATATGAATATTACAAATTACTTTAAGAAAAGCAACAGGGGTCTATATTTTTTGGACTAAAAAATACTGTCATAATCATTTTTCTTAACTCTACGCTGAATTAAGACGGACCTAGTGCAATTTGGGCGTTCATGACCGACAGGTCCAACGGCTATCGCGAACTCTGATGTATATCTATCTGTCTGACTTTTATGGAACATACCTTCTGGAGATTCTTCTTGCATGTAGGAACCAGTTAGATATCGATGCACCAATGCTGACTTCCCACTGTGAACACTGCCTAAAATTCCCTGAAAATGTCAAAAATAATTATAGAACTATTATCAAAATATTTAGGTGTATAATCCATTCATTATAGTTCATTTAAATAACTTTGTCCAATATCTTGAAATAAACAAAAGAATTGAAAACAAAAGTTGTCTGCATTGTATTCTTCCTCATTTATATTTGTATCACTAACATGAAATATTCCTTTAAAGATGATAATAAACTGTTGACATGTCTCTTGTATACAGTTTTGGTAGTATGTATAATGCAAATGTTGAAATTCAAATGGCAATTCTATATAACAACAGTACACAGTCACTATGCAAATTCAGTTAATAAAGCATTGCTGAAGATGCAGGGTCATACAATGTATATAATCTCTTTGGATTTGAGAATTGTCAATGCTAGTACAACGAATTTGACAGCCATTGCCACTTTAAAGGGGCACTAGCTGTCAAATTCATGTTCACCGATTTGACTCAAATTCTCATATTTGTTATATAACAATGTAAAACATTTATCCAAATTATAAAAAATCTAAAATAAACAATTTACAGGGCAAAGGGGCGATAATATGTAGCTTTGTTTTGTGTGTATTTTAGTATAGACGCCATCTAATTAACTGTTGAGTTGACCTCCCGAAAACCACCAATGCCCATTTAAGGGATATAAACATGAATAAAGATATAAATAAATAGCGCAACTCGTGCAATTGGATTCTTCTAGGTCTATTTAATTTCATTTATAGATTAAAAATATATGTTAATCATCATTTTTACCTGTTTCAGAATGATTTTTTTGAGGATCGAATCAGTCAATTAAATGAATTACCTTTGTTTACTTTCAATGTTGACATTTTTTTCCTTTAAATAATCAAAAATGCACACAGTTTATACGTTATCCAACTCTATCTAAGGGGTTAAATTGAAGTTCAAAAGAATACAGATTCAATGAGGTTGAATTATTCACTTGCAAGTGAATAATTCATCATCAATATTTATTTGCTTATTTTGACAATATTAGACAATACTGGCTGCTAAAATTATTTCACTATTCCACTTTCATTAATGATTGAACAAAAAAAATCATATTTTATCTTTTTTTTATATCTCGTAGCTAGTGCCCCTTTAAACTGATTATGACCAAAACACAAACTTAAAAAATGTAAACTATGCAAAAGTTTCAAAGTCAATGAACAATGACTGATTGGATGGGCTTTAAACATAAATTTGAGCCAGCCAGACATTTTATCATTGTAACTAAAAGTATTTAAGTTGATAAAGGTCACCATTGGGGAATCAAGGTCAATGATTATGATCAAATTATTTCACAAGACAAGAAAATAATTTCTTCCTACTTCTGATATGGATTTGGTGAACTGACAGTAACTTATTACCATTTGAAGTGTGGACTAATGTTTGCCTTTGCCGTATAATCTTTATTAATGCTACAACATTTTAATAAGAAAGTTTACAAAGAAAACATTTTCTAATATCGTATTTTGACTTGACACATATGAAAGTCAGAACAAAGACATAATAATCTGAATACTGTAAACTAACTTATTTTCACGGATAATTTATTTCGCGTTTAGCCCTTTCTAGCCCAATTCGTGGCGATTTAATTTCGCGATTTTCAAATTTACTTGATGTAATTAGACAAGGAAGGATCCGAGTTTTAAATTTTTGGGACTATTTATATACGCGTTATTTTGCTTCTCGCGAATGTTGTGAAAATAAATCACTCACGAAAATTAGTTGGTTTACAGTATGTGAAATCCCTGTGCAAACACACACACTTGCAAGCATTGTTCTGTTGATTTTTGGCTCAATTTTTTTTCATTTAATTAATTTTAATATGTTTTGACTATTATTATTTCAACAGTTAAACATGAGAAATAACATCAAAAAGATTGACCAATGTCTGGTACTAGTTTACCTGTCAGATCAACAGGTAAAACTTAAAATAACCTGTTGATCAGCCACATTACTTTTGGGATTGAAATTGACAAATGAACCATAAAAATGAGAACAAAGTTTAGATGAACCCTGCAAGACAGACATATCCACCATGCAATCATTCCATACATCAAATATGAGAAACAGACATAACCATAAAAATTTAACACTGACTAATGAACCATGAAAGTGACGTCATGTTCAGATGAACCCTGCCAGCCATGCACACCTTACAATTATTCCATACAGCAAATACTGTTGTCCTATTGCTTATAGTGTCTGAGGTAGAGACTTGACCATGAAAACTTAATATTGATCACAAATCCTTGAAAAGTGGTTGAGGTCAGGTAACTCTGTCTGACGGACATGTAGACCTTGCAAGTAACATTATAGAAAATATCATTGAATGATCTATGTAATTCTATCACAAGTTGTTCCATTCAAACTGACTTGAACAGAAAACTAATTGTTCACACCTCCAACGATGATTACTCTGCCGCCACCGATGAAAATACTGTGGCTGAACCACAAAAAAAGAAGTCAAGGACAATGGACATATGACAGACAGAAACTTTGTAACATAAGGCATCTACATACAAGGTATGAAGCATCAAGGTCTTCTACCTTCTGAAATATAAAGCTTTATATAAAAAGCTGTCATCTTGGCTGCTGCAAGATAGTACGAGTCTCCCTACGTCTCACAAGTGAGACAAATATTATGACAGTAAAACTCAAAATTCTTTTCTATTTCAATAGAGAAAATCAATGTGTAAGATGATAGTTCTTCTCTTCCACATTCAACTTAGTTCAACTCTCAACTTAGAAATTGCATACCTGTTTATATAAATTTGTTTGCAATTATCCAATTCTTTCATTTGTTACATTTGAAAAAAAAATCTATCAATTGTTAATTTGCACATACCAATTTGAGGTCTGGTACTGATCTGCTCAATGTCCATTCCTGGCTGTTTACAAATGAATCTGAAAATAGAAACAATTAACTTCTTAAGGTTAAAGGTCTAACAAAGTTCTGGTAACTGTTTTCTCTGACTTATGATCCACTATAACACAGGTAATTTAGGTCATAAGTGTGACAGACATGAGGATTCATATATATATATATATATCCTTCCCTATAAAAAAAAATAGGTTAAAAAAAATAATGAATATAGTAAAGTTCAATACACGTAATTTTGTTTTACCTTTCTTATCAGTTATTGCTTGAAATTCAGGAGACCGTGGTTTCACATTCAACTGCTGATGTCTTTTAGAAAATAAACCTGGTGTGAAAAAAGTTCAAGGAAATTGGCCCACCGTTTTAAATCAACAGAAGTTTGTTAAGTTTCCTGCCAAATTGTTTTACTTACATGATCTATATTTATGTGTTACTATTGCTCCATCGGTTTTTGTTCTACGATAAGGTAATGTCAAACGCTTGAAGGAACCAAACATCACAGCTAACTACTTATCCATTCCATATATATTTCATTATCAAATATCATTGATCACAAACATTGTGGTTTCCTTTCACTTTGAGAATCAAACTTTTTAAATCTTTGCAAGAAATCCATGACATAACATCAACTGTCTCAATCTAGCTTTGAGCACATACAACTTTCACCGCTTTAAACTTCACTTGTGTCAACATAAGCAGTAAGGGTATCCAGTCCACAGAAATCATGAACACTTGTATCATACACCTCAAATTTAATTTCCTTTGGCTCATGATATCTTATCAATTTGATGATTTATTTAATTTTGCAAAAAGCTATTCCACTGATAACTGAATCCTGAAATAATTGCATTCCTGCATTTCCCAAGTGATCAACAGTCCAACTTTTACATGTTATGAGTATTCAAAAGTTAATCCAATGTATTTTCTTGTTTCAATCAAGAGCTGACATATTTAATCGGTTTCATAATTAAGTTTTAGTTATTTCAATCAACAATCTATTTTTACATGTATCTGTATTTGAAATTGCATTAGAAGTTCCCTTTTGCACATGCATAGTTAAGTATGTTTTTTTGTATCTAAAAGATTATAAATAAGATAGTCATTTTCCTTCTGAAGCAGACTTTGAAACAAAAAAAGTGAATTCCTTCCTTAATCACCTGTACACCACTGCTTATCAACAGATAAATTTAGGTTTCACCTGTTGCTCATACTACAAACTCCCATGAGCCTTTACCATGTATACAGAGATCACATAAAATCAATGTTTTATGTTTTGAAGAAACACCTTCTTTTCAAGTATACAACACTTAATACTTTGCATGTATTTTTCCAGTAATAATTGATTCAATTGGTGTAGCAATTCTCGAACAATTTATATTATTTTACCAAAATATACAATGTGTGTATTTTTAACATGATAAAAAATATCAAGATGTAACAGTAATGCCGCCCAAAAAGGTTCCTACATTAATTACTCAAAGGGCACATTTCTGTCATAATTGTATGACTGCATTGATTCTTAGAAGACATTTCAACATACATGTACATTCATGTCATTTGGAATCTGTTGGATAATTAATTATATCATTGGCAATCATACAACATCTTCTTATTACATATACAACATCAGATCAGGTAAAACTTAAGATCTTTGACATTCAGGTGGGTTCCCACTTTGAAATAACTACTACCATAATCTGCCGTGTATAATCTGTATTGTTACATAATATAATCCACACATCCTTTCAGTGCCACGGAAATTCAGGAAAACAAATGTTGCCACTTGTTGAAAATGTCTAGTGAAACTCTCGTAACTTCAAGATGTGTGTGATAGTTTGCAGTATTTTCTTGGAAAAACCTGTTTCCCATCATCAAGAAGAATTTAAAAATATTTGTAAATGATACTAGCCCACTTCATGGATGTTAATATAAGCCAGAATTTTAAAACGAATATTTGGAAAAATTTGTTTTGTCATTTGTCAAATTTTTAACCTTTTTATTCATCTTTAAAGTACTGAGGATTCATTCCTGGATTTAGGTGAACCATGAATATAGATATTCAACAAAGTACAAATTTTCTTTTGGCTTGTATTCTAACTTTTTGCAAAACTACCAAATCAAATATCTATGAAATTGCATTTTGTCATCAATCCATGAAAATTGATCATGATATGCATGAAAATAAAGGAATACACAGAATGTCAAATACATGTTTAATGTCATCATTTATTTGCAATGGAGCATACTCAAAAGTTAATAAAATATTCAACATTGATCTAGGTATTTGCCCTCATCTCTCCCCCAAAATGAAAATATTAAAATAATTTTCCAATCTTTGTGTATTAAAATCCCAGTTCTGTCTTATAATCCATTGAAATGTCATTCACACCTGAAACAGTGTACCCTAGAGTTTTAAATGTAATGGGGTGTAGATCACAACAATACTTTTACAGAATAATGATCTGTTCAAGAGAAAAATACATGATTACACAAGTTCTTATTTGTGAAATGTTAGCTAGAAGGTAAAAAAAATGTCCATCCACAAAAATACAATTTTTCCGAATTCCATGAAAATCGGTAAAAAAAATAAATGAATCCTCAGTACAAATGTATGTAGATTTGTTAAACATAGCTGTTGGGAAAAATATTTTAAAAACATTAATTTATACAATCTACTTTTAGCACTGTCACAATACACACAAAAATGTATCAAAATTCAAAAACATTAAACCTTTAAATTTACCAAAGGAATTTTTTATTATTGGATGGTTGTTACCTTAGAAAAATAGTAATCAACATGCTTTAAATTACATTAAAAATCATTAAAGGATTTTAGTTCCACTCCCAGCATGCCATCGATAAAATATGTCACACTGACTCACTAGAAAAAGTCAATAAATAAAATTATTAATTAATCCTTTTCTTCTTTATAACTGCATATATCAATGCAACTTTGTGAATGTGTATTTTATGGTATTATAAACATATTTAGATGATAAGTCAAAGTTTATGAATTTTCCCTTGAATAGAATTTACGTGCAGTGTTGAGTAAAATACAATTAAATTTATTCATCACATTAATGTTTCAGGGACCTATAGCTAAAACAAAACACAAGCAGCAGTTTGAAATCTGATTGAAGAATAGATTGAAATTATTACATTTACTATTTTTTTACTACATGTCGTAATTTATTTATACATCGTTATGCAATGCTACGAAAAGAACGAAGAAATGTGTATAAATATATATATAGAAGTCTATAAAAAGGACCAAACAGCAAATTTAATATGTACCAGACGGTCTAGAATAGACGATGCTGCTCAGATTGGGAAAAAATTGTACCGTTGGTGCAAATCTTTAGAGTTATATATATGTATCTATACATGTAAGTATTTAATTCTGATACCTATCAGAAAATATCGGGTTTTCAAAATGCATAATAATATGGATTCAGTAGATTATTAGACTGTTTAAAAAGAAGTACAATTTCAAGAACAATCATCGTGAAGTCAAGTTTTTCTCTTATTTCTTGCTTATACATGTAGTACTCTACAGATACTTCACAATTGTTTTCACACTCCTGTTTTAAACATAATTTTCCATTTTAACTTTAACTTTTAAAGATGAACAAGAATAGAAAGCTGATTTGTTAAAACACTTATATATACCCGCACATATGTTTTCCTCAAATCAAACATGTACACAAACAGTAGGATAATACTCCCATGGCAGGAAGCTTAGGCCAATTAAAATTAATTGATAGATTTTCATCCCCGCCCGCCCCGATTTTTTTTATTTTGAAAAATTTACGATTTCCGGATTTTGTTCATTTCTGTTACCTGTAACCGTCGATAATTTTGTTTCATTCAAAACTTCCAGTTTAAAATTTCGGTTTTTCGTATTACTTACTCACTTACTTACTTACGTGAAGGGCATGAAATATTCGGGTTACGAGTACGTAATACGCTGTGTCCAAGAACGCAAATCACTGTATGTCACAAATGTTCTGAGATTAAATAAAATGCTCCGCTGGGGCGCAGCTTGATACGACCGCAGAGGTCGAACCCTGAACAGTTGGGGCAAGTATGGACACAACATTCAAGCTTGATACAGCACTGAATTTGGATTGTAATTAAATATTTGACACAGCATAGGTTTCTGACACAGAATGAAAGTGGTCTAAGAACTTAAAAATTTTCAATTTACCTATTCATACATGTGATGGACTGTGAAACTCAGATCAGGAGATTGGGAAATTTTGGTCAGGAGATTAGGACTCAGATCAGGAGGTTTTTAATCGACATTAATTTTGTTGTAAATGTAACCGTGTGCTGTAAAAATGGTCTTTTAAAGTGTGTTTTCTTCAACTTTCCATCCAATTTATTATGTTTATAGTACCCTTGTACTTATAAAGTTTCTCCATCTTTATATTCTACATGTTCAATCTAACATAGTTTTTTTCCAGTATGTTCTTTAAATTTTTTACTTCATATTCTATAAAACAATCATTGCAACCAGAACATTTTTTTAGCTGTCTGCAAATAGTTTTTATTTATTTTTTTTTTTCTCTTGCAAATAGTTTTTATTTTTTTTTTTATCTTTATTAGTTTTTATTTGCAAACTCAGAAATTCATTCTATCTGTAAAGTTAGGGTCATAGTTATTATATAAATTTCAATTTAAGCCTTAAAAGGAAGTATAGAATCCTCAAATAATTTTCAAATTATTATTTTTTTATTTGTCCTAAGACATTTAAAATCATTTAATAACCATCCTTTTATGATTATTTGTTCAATTTATATTTTATTTATATTCTTTTAAAAATTTTCATTATTAAAAGGAAAGTAACTTAAAACAGGATAAATCAAGGGAAGTAACCCAATAAATACACAGTTTTTGTTACACAACGGCAGTTAGCCTGAGGTAAAAATCGTTGCTTACCAGTATGTTTGACACCCAAGCTGACAAGTGAAGCCATATAATTATGCATGTTAATTGATTTACAGGTAAAATATAACTTCAGGTAATGTCAGTTACACCAGATGCCTGAGATGATATGTTGGGCAGAAATTTTTCATTCATGAAAAATTTCATACACGGGATTTTTTCCTCTTCAACGGGAGGTCGGGAGGAGACCCCTGAAAACGGGATTATTGTACTCCCGTCGGGAGGTTCACATGTATGCCTATTCAAACCATATCATTATTATTTGCTTTTATATATAAATCAGAAATAACCAATTTAAAATGGAAAATGTTAAAGAAAAAAAAGGAAAAAAAAAATCCCCCCCCAATTTTTTGAACCCCCTTATGATTCACCGCCCCCAAACTCAATCCCAGCTTTCCCTTTGTGGTATGGTACCTTGCACTACAATTTCAGAGAGATTCATACACTTGAACACAAGTTATTGTCTGGAAACTAGAAAAATGCTTGTTTTTTGGCCCCTTTTTGGCCCCAAATTCCTAAACGTTTAGGGCAATTACCCCCAAACTCAATTCCAGCTTTCCCTTTGTGATATGGAACCTTGCAGTACAATTTCATAAAGATCCATACACTTACACACAAGTTATTGTCCTGAAACTAGAAAAATGCATGTTTTGTTTGCCCTTTTATGGCCCCTAATTACTAAAATTTTGAGTGAAAACCCCCAAAATCAATCCCAGCCTTCCCTTTGTGATATGGAACCTTGTAGTACAATTTCATAAAGATCCATACACTTACAAACAAGTTATTGTCATGAAACTAGAAAAATGCTTGTTTTTTGCCCCTTTTTGGCCCCTAATTCCTAATATTTGGAGGAAATTACCCCAAAAATCAATCCCAGTATTCCCTTTGTGATATGGAACCTTGTAGTACAATTTCATAAAGATCCATACACTTACAAGCAAGTTATTGTCATGAAACTAGAAAAATGCTTGTTTTTTGCCCCTTTTTGGCCCCTAATTCCTAAAATTTGGAGACAATTACCCCCAAAATCAATCCCAGCATTCCCTTTGTGATATGGAACCTTGTGGTACAATGTCAGAGAGATCCATACACTTACTCACAAGTTATGTCTGGAAGTTACAAAAATGCTTAATTTTTGGCCCCTTTTGGCCCCTAATTCCTTAACTGTTAGTACCATAACCCCCAAAATCAATCCCCACCTTCCTTTTGTGGTATTGAACCTTATGGTAAAATTACAATGAGATCCATTCACTTAAACTAAAGTTAGAGTGCGAAAACTAATGTGTATTCGGACGACGACGCCGGACGACGACGACGACGACGACGACGCCAACGTCATACCAATATACGACCACAAAAATTTTTTTGCGGTCGTATAAAAACCGTGGATACTTTTATTTATACAATGACTTAGTGTAAGAAAATTTGGACTGTGAACGATATCCAAAGCGCAAGAATCGTGGAACACATTGTTACAATAAAACATGACTGGATTAAAGAAATTGACACAAGCACGAACTTGTTAGATTTATGACCGTATATTGAGTTCAAAAAGTCTACAAACATACGTATTTTATTATAGCAATCCCTTAGATTTACCAATGGCTTTCGTTTTTTGTTGAAAAACAGCACAGTAAACACTGTCCTAATACCCTTAATAGAGTCATTCAACAACTTTTTCAAGTTTTACATTGTAATTATATTTGCATCTTGCATTGGCACCAACCCTATTATTTTCAACACTATTTGAGTTTTCATTTTATTCTGTACTCATATTTGTTTAGCATACCAAAACATTTGCTTCATTTTATGGGGACTATAAACCATCACTTAGAAAGCAAAATAAATTCAGTGCAGGTAGTCCAACTGAAAAGAGCATTTTTCCACGTTTATAAATGGGTTTCTAAAGCGGCAATTACATGTAGAACATTTTTTTCAAAAATCTGGATGAAAATCTACTAATTAATTTTAGTTGGCCTTAAGGGAAAGAAGAAGAAAAATCTCTAATAATACATGTATGTACAATATTTTAAAGTTTTTCATGTTACTGAATAATTTAACTTAAAATTCGTAAGGGTTCCGCGGAACCCAGTGTCTCGCCTACTTTTGCTGTTAATCACAGGCTCAACAAAAATGAGGAAAAAAATTAATAAAAATATTCCTCTCTATACTATCTTTTGATTGTAAGTAGCTTCTGTCCAAGTTTGGTAAAAATCCAGGATAGTTTATGAATCTAATAAATGTTTTAAAAACTTAAACTGCAGACTGTTATGTAATGTTAACTGGAAGAAAAACTAAGTCCATTTATAAGTAAAATACGGAAAAAATAGAACAAAATTTTAACAAAATTTCCTTTTAGATACTAGCTTTTAATCATAAACAAGCTTCTGTCCAAGTTTGGTACAAATCCAGGATAGTTTAAGAAAGTTGTTAAAATTTTAAAAACTTTAACCACAGAGTGAATGTAATGTTTCCTGGCAGAAAAACTAAGTCCATTTATAAGTAAAATACGGAAAAAATGGAATTTTTTTTTTACAAAATTTTCTTTTAAATATTATCTTATGATCATAAACAAGCTTCTGTCCAAGTTTGGTAGAAATCCAGGATAGTTTAAGAAAGTTATTAAGATTTCAAAAACTTTAACAACAGAGTGAATATTTGTGGCCGCCGCCGACAACGACGCCGACAGAATGTAGGATCGCTATGTCTAGCTTTTTCGACAAAAATCACTATTTAACAGTTAAAGTGTTTTCAGAAGTCAATTATGAAGATTTTATGTATTACATGTTGATACACCTTGACGGCGTTAGCCCAAATGGGTATATCAAATTTACACCAAGATATTATTGTCAATGCAGAATGATATATTGCCCCAATAGGTGTATCTAATTTACACCAAGATATAATTGTCAATGCAGAATGATAGTTTTCAATAATTTAGAAGGGCTTTCAGCAATTTGATCAGATGTTATTGAAAAGCATGATAAATGCAGGCTAGAGTATCCAATTTCATATAACGACATCTTGGTGTAATGCTTATTGTAATGCAAATTTACAATATCTATATATGTCAATAAAAGTTACTGTTCTAATTCAGTGATTATTTATTCAAATGTATATAGATTATGAAATAGAGATGTGGGGTTAATGTACATGCCATGATGACACTGCTAATTTAAATTAAAACCTATTTTGATTGCAAATAAGTTGTAAAAAAAAATTAAAAGTAGTGTAAAAAAATTTGTTTCAATTATTTTTTTGGAAAGAGGTGGCGAAAAAAGAAAAATAACATTAAGAATGTACTAATTTTACACTGTCACATTTCCATGGGGTAAAACTGTAATATGGCATATATATTTTAATTATAACCTGATACAGGACTGAGGAACAGATGGAATATTGGACAGACACACAGACCAGAAAACTTAATGCCCACAACTATAGTAGGCAGGCCATAAAAATTAAATAATTGGTAAAAATCTTCATTCAAGGGCAATAATTCCTATTAGTATTCTGAAAGTTTTGGTCAAAATAGACAGTAGTTTTCTTGACATTCTGAACATTTTTGCCATTGTCAGATTTCTTTATCTACATGTATTTATAGCTATGTAAGTTTTAAAGATATTAAATAATTACTTGCATTTTATCCCTATATTCTATTCATAGCCATGGTATCCATGTTGGTTTGGCAGCAGAGTTATCGGACACAATTTAAACATGAAGCATGATTGTGGTCAAGTTTTGCTGCAATTGGACTTTTAGACAAGAAGATTTTTGTAAAACTTCACTGAGAATAATGGAAGATGAAGACAGACAAAGGATGCCAAATGATGACAATATCTCGCACTGGATTTTAATTGGACCAGATAAGCTAAGATAAAAAGTAAAGAAAACTGATATTTCAAGCAACTTCCTATGTCCAAGGGTAAAACAAAAAAGTTTGCTAAATCTTCAATTTCAAACTTCTCTGGAACCTACAGTTGCCTATAATTGCTTACATCCACTTCATTTGAAGTTTGGTGGATAGTTGTCTCATTGGCAATCATACCATATCTCCTTATTTTCATATTGATCATTATTACACAACTTTACCCAGGGATTCCTCTGGGTAAATTTTCTTTTTGCCACCCTTTTCTCAAAAAAAAAATAATGTCACGATTACAAAACAGGAAGCATGTATGTATAATACTGGTACAAAGTAGGTTTGCTTACTTTATCTCATAGGAATAATGTTACGACACCTTATACTGATCCTAGTAATTCCAGAGGAGGCTAAATGGACAGTGCAAACAATAACATATATATTTTACTTACCAGAATTAATTATTGCTTTCATATAAACTCCACAAATTTTTCCAAACATGCCGAAATTGAAGAACATGAGTATTCACATATTTTATCAATATCCCCCCCAAAAAAAATTTCAACAACAAACACTATACATTCCAGTTTGACCACAATTTGTGTACTTCTAGCTTCCTGTGAATCATTAAATCTGGCTGAAGTTAATGCAATCTTTTTTTTTCATTTTGAGTTTTACAGAATAATAATTCCATCAATATTGAAACTGAATACACATTGTTTTTCCCTAGATTAATCAATGGTTTTATAATCTTCATTAGGACACTGGTTTCTAAATGAAAATCTCAAGTCAACCTGCTTTTATTAAGCTTAACTCTATCCATAAAAAACAACATGGTCTATAGCTAGTTCCTGAGAAGTAGAAAGCAATACAAAAGGAACTAACAAATACTGTTTTTTTTTCATTTTTCTTTTACAATTTCTGTTGTTTTTTTGTGAATAAATTTAATCAATCAGCTTTACGTGATAGAAATCGAAATATACAGCATCTGTTTCAGAATTTAATAGTGGAAATCCATATTACAGAATATTTTCTAAGATAATTAATGTTAAATTGTCTATAAGTCAATAATATACAAATGTGAACATTTCCATCTTTTTTTCTCTAGTTTTCCTTGTATACAATTCATATATCATATACATTGTACATGTACATATAAATCCTAATCATTCCTTTTGAGATTATATTTATTACAGGTGGCAAAATCTCTGCATTTTCTGGCTCATTTAGCCTTTGAATAAAATCAGCAGACATACATTGTTTATCTCTTAGTTTTCCTGAATAAGTGAATCAATCTGACATACATTTTTTCAAATTTACTTCAATATGTAAAGGTCCTTATAAGTCAAAAAATATATTAAGTGTCTAGATTTCCTGTATGACTTTTTCATGGCCAATCAATTATAATCCTCCTCCAATATTGGCTAAAAATCTTGGTATTAATGTAAATTACACATTATAGCTTTAAGTATTGATTTATATTTGCTTACTTAAATAAAACTTCTAGCATCTGTGACATGTATGATTTGTCACCACCTAATGCTGTTACACAATTCACATAATCAGCACACTATTGATTGATTAACATTTAATTAGAACCCATTCCAATACACATATATATACATGTATACAGTATATATAACTGACATGTGTTATAAATGCTTATAAGTCTGATTTTGCATAAGTGACATTCAATAATAAACCTTTCAATAGTGCATAATTGTACATTTTAATAAAAAGAAATTGTCAAAGCAACTACCACTAGTGGAAAATAAATGAACAGAGTTCCAATGTCCCCCCCGTTGCACATATTTAATCTATCCAAGGTACAAGGGCAATAACTAAAAATAAACTGCTTCGCTGAGCTCAGCTGGAAACGCCCGCAGAGGTCCAACCCTGAACAGTTGGGGCAAAAATGGACACAATATTTGCGCTTGATACAGGTCTGAATTTGGATTGTAATTAAATATTTGACACATAATAGGTTATTGACACAGAATAACTGTGTCAAAGAACTTAGAATTGGTTATATGATTTGAATTTATAGTCAATTTTTTGCTTTAGTGCAATACACTATGCTGTTGCTAAATAACCACCCCCCCCCCCCCCAAAAAACATTTTGTCCCCCCCCTTTTTTTTTGGCTTTTGTGCAATACACTATGCGGTTGCGAATTGAACCCCCCCCCCAAAAAAAATATTTTTTAATGGAGTTTCAACCATAATTACCCATTTAAATACATCATAAAAGTCTTAAAATAGAAAATGACATACATGATCATGGCTAAAATTCCTTAATCAGCATTTTTAAATAGTAACTTTCTAATATTTATAATTGACTAAAAATAAATTGACAGCTAATCACCTCAAGACAATACAACATTTCTTTATACATAATTTAAAAGCAGTGTAAGGGAGGTAATCCAAACTTAACATTGTACTTATTTTTAATTTTCCATTAACCAGGAAACCCTTGTTTTTCCCCCTTTTTTGCCCTAATTCCTAAACAGTTTGAGCCATAACCCCCAAGGCCAATCCTAACCATCCCTTTGTGGTATGGAAACTTGTGGTATAATTTCAGAGAGATCCATACACCGTTCCACAAGTTATTGCCTGGAAACTACAAAAATGCTTATTTGGGCCCCTTTTTGGCCCCTAATTCCTAAACTGTTAGGACTATAACCCCCAAAATCAATCCCAACCTTTCTTTTGTGGTTATAAACCTTGTGTATAAATTTCATAGATTTCTATTTACATTTACTAAAGTTATTGTCCGGAAACCAAATGTTTTCGGACGACGCTGACGACGTGATACCAATATACGACCGCAAAATTTTTTGCGGTCGTATAAAAATCTGGCAAGAACTGGACATGTGGGGGGTGATAGCGCTAACAGGACCGGATGGATGCCCAATATACGACCGCAAAATTTTTTGCGGTCGTGTAAAAATCTGGCAAGAACTGGACATCAGGGCTTCCAAAATTAATTTTAGCCAGCCGGACATTTTATATATTATCCCAATTTTAATCCCTTAAGACTAAATGAACAAAAGGCAATTATGGTAATCAGTTGCCAAGTTGGCCATCCCAATGATAGGCATAAAAAAAGCGATATTAAACTTTCTTTGATTCAAATTCGAAGTTCTGACGTAAACTGTTTAATTGGCAGTGCATCATTCGTAGTGTGCAACAATAAATTACATCAGCGTACTTATATTTGACTTAGACTCTTTATTTGTGCAAAATAACGTTGTCAAAAACTTTACTTTTGTTTTTTAAATCTTATACCGGATGTTATCTTGACAATGGTAAAACATGGACCAGAGACAGATTTATAAGTAAATTCCGTGTACGTTTGCAAAGCATGAATGAGTGGAAGAAGCTCCTTCTCGTTATTTCTTCAAGAAAATAATCGTAATAAATGTGAGATAAAGGTATCCATGACAATTTAAGCATTTTTTGAAGAATTAGGATGCATAATTAAATTTCACACCTGCGCACATGCGCACACGTGTACTAGTTCAAACAGAGACATGTCTCTAGTACAAACAACGTGTTTATGACGATGTTTCATTTTCACCTTTTTAATTTTTTCATCAAATTATATTTGTAAACGTATTTCTGATAATTTAAATCTTTTTGACTAAATTAATTAGATGCAAACCACTGAAATGTAAGAAAATAACTTTGAATAGACCGATCAATGTCCGGTTCAAAATAGTTTACCTGTCACCTGAACAGGTAAATTTCAGCTGTTCGACAACTAATTAGCCTTGATTAAAATGAGAAGGTATTAAAGTAGGGGTTGTTTTGATAGTACTTAATGATCATGTCACTTTTACAACGGGAAATGTGTGGCTGTTAAAGGCAAAACGTTCTGTCAAAAAGATCGCGAATTATGTTAAAATGACCGTCTCTTAAAGCCTTGAAAACTAAAAAGTAGATGACCATTTCATGCTTTGCCCAGCCGGACTTTTACCGGACATTATACAAATGTCCGGCATATATGACCGTTTTGGAAGCCTTGCTGGACATGTGGGGGGGTGATAGCGCTAACAAGACCGGATGGACGCACCGACGGACAGATGAACAATGGACAGACAAACGGACGCCCAGTATTTTTATGTCCCCAGCAACGTGTTGCTTGGAGGACAATAATGCGATATGGGAGATAATAAACCTGCCCAAAATATAATATAAGGATATTTTTGGTGCAAAATATTGGGCAAGGGTTTTTTGGTGTGTTGGTTTGTGGATCCAACCACCCATTTTTCCAATAAACAGGAAAAAAATAAAAAATAAATTTCATGCTTTTTTTATTCACACAGACTTTACCAAATTCATTATCCCTGAAATATGAAAAAAATCTATCTGCATTCACCTCAAATTATTGTAATAAACAGAAATGAATAAAGATTGTATTAACCAAAAATCTCAAAACAATCTGTTGCGTTTGTGAATTCTAATAATGAGCTGCACCATGAGCGCATGATATACCTGTCACCCTTTTAGCTCGTCTTTATGCTTTACATGAATTTATATGATAACTTACAATGTAGAAATACTGTGAAATCTGCTCAAATACACCCCCCACCAAAAAAAAAAAAAAACATGCACACAGTGGTACCCATTGACACAAAACATCAACAATTTGGCATTATTAAGGCTACTTCAAGTTTAACTAAGTTTGTTGCCTTGATTTTTCACCTGTAAATTCTATAAAAGTCCAATGTGTGAAAAATGAACAGTTTTCAATGATTTTTCAACGAATATAGTTCCATAACTCCATATATTGTCATATAAGAAAAAAAAAAAAAACACAAAAGGGAGCTCATATGAATTATTTCAATAGATATTAACAAGTCACTATAGTTTCATGGAAATTGATGAAAGCGTTTTTGAGTTATTGTCCGAAGTGTTGACAACGGACAGACAGAGAGACGGAGTGACAGACAGACAATGGTATAGCATAAATTAATATGTCCTTTCTTAAAAGACAGGTGTATAAAAAAAGACAATTGACAAGTGAATTGAACAGATCTGAAAATGTTGTTTACTCAAATAATTTTTTGGAACAAAATCTTATATTACTAGCTCTTTACACAAAGTTCATTTCCTTAAAGGCTTTAATTTATTGTCATTGGATATCAAACGCAGTGTATTTATTTTCTTTAAGCATGTGTGTTTAAAATCAAAACATGTTTATGTTTACTGTGACTTGACTGTTAGTGTTGCTCTCAACCTATTGCAACTTATTCAAAATTCTGACCCAACTGCAATTTGTTTTATAAAACCAAACTGTTCAACTGGTCAGAAATTTGAACAAACTGCTGTAGAAAACCACAGTCAAGTCGTGAAAGTGCAAGGTGATAAAATAAAGCATACTTACAATCCTATTAGACTTTAATTCCACTTCAATGTTATCATGAAAAATCAGTCTAACAGTTTGTATAGAAAATTTATTGTTATTGTCATGCTAAAGGTGATGGGTAGTAATTTTGAATTGCTATAAAAATGTCCAAACTAAGCTTTCATACAATTTTTCTTTCGAAAAGTCTTCTATATTCATTAGAATCAGACATCATTTGAATCAAAACATTTTTAGTAAGTTTCCATGGGAGATAATAAATTTTTCTTTCGAAAAGTCTTCTATATTCAAAAGAATAATGTTTAAGGTTATCTCCCATGGAAACATTAACAACGTATTGTAATTTCACATATATTTTACTGAATGTAAGATGTTTTATTTCAAATGATATTTAATTCTTATGAATATAGAAGACTTTTGGAAAGGAAAATTGTATGAAAGCTTAGTTTGGACATATTTATAGCAATTCAAAATAAAATGCTTCGCTGAGCGCAGCCTGATACGACCGCAGAGGTCAAACCCTGAACAGTTGGGGCAAATTTGGACACAATATTCAAGCTTGATACTGTCTGAATTTGGATTGTAATCAAATTTTTCACATAATATAGGTTTATGACACAAAATAAATGTGGTCAAAGATCTTATAAATCCATTGCGCAATGCTGTGCAATTGAAGATTTCTTCTTGAAACTTTTCAAAAATTCGAAATTATGAAATCCCTTAAAAAAAATTGGCCCCCAATTTTTTGAAACCCCACTTGGAGCAATAACCCCAAAACTCAATCCCAGCCTTTACCTTGTAGTATGGAACCTTGTAGTACAATTTCAGAGAGATCCATACACTTACACACAAGTTATTGTCTGGAAACTAGAAAAATGCTTGTTTTTAGCCCTTTTTTGGCCCCTAATTCCTACATGTTTGGGGCAATTAACCCCAAACTCAATCCCAGCCTTCCCTTTGTTATATGGAACCTTGTGGTACAATATCAGAGAGATCCATACACTTACACACAAGTTATTGTCTGGAAACTAGAAAAATGCTTGTTTTTGGCCCCTTTATTTCTAAACTGTTGGCCCCATAACCCCTAAAATGAATCCCAACCTTCTACTTGTGGTATTAAACATTGTGGTACAATTTCAGAGCAATCGAAATACTTATACACAAGTTATTATCCTGAAACTAGAAAAATGCTTGTTTTG